CTTCTTCCTTTTCTAATTCTGGAATATCTATCCCATCTAGGTGAGACCATCTTGATAAATCATCACTCTTTCGTATACAACTTGGGGAGATTGGCATCCCCTTTACCGTTTTCACATTGGGCAATTCAATCACAGAACTTTCGACCATTTATTTCACTGTTAAATCACCATTGTTCCTTCCACCTGGGTGCTTCCTGTCATACCAGTTAACGTATACTCTATCTTCTTGCCAACAAGACCAAGTTTCTTTGCAAGCTGCTCATGACATAATGTCACTTCAGATCCATTATCCATTAATGCATATGTTTCAGCAAATTCATCACTATTGCTCCGATACACCTTCACAGGGATAACACCAAGGCATACTTTACTTTCTCCACCACCAGTAGCTCCTACCACTAAACCACCATCACCATTAGCCGAGCTGGATGTCCTGTCACCGGCCCCAGTTTGCTGGCCTTTCACTGTCTCATCTGCCTTCCCAATCTGCTCCCCAGACTTGTTAGGATCTTTTCTTTCTCCAGAGACCTTTCACGACTTGTTTGGTCTATGCATTAACGTATGGTGCTCTCCACCACAGTTATCAACCTGACAACGAAATCGGGTCTTCGGACAGTTCTTACTGACGTGCCCCCTATCCAGGCACTTGTTGCACAGACCATTCTCTTGCACACATTTACGTTTTGCATCATAATCCAAGTATTTAAACACATCACACCGCCACACTCCATGCTGGTTTGAACACACCGAACATTTCTTTGGTCCCTGTGACTGTTCATTTCTTGGACGAAATTGCTGACTTGATGCACCCGTGGAAAACGAGGAAATCCCTTTGGTTACTCTTTTCTCAAAAGGCCGTGCATGTTTGCCTCTATTCATATCATTACCAAACTCATTGTTAACCAATTTGGCACGGCTGTTGACAAATCCTTGAACTTCGGGCGACTACCAGATTCCAAAATTCCACCTGCAAGATCGGTCCATTTCGCTCTCAGAAACATCGGTAATTTCTTAACCAATTCTCTTAATGTAGTCATGTGGTTCAGCTCTGAAACATAAGCAGTTCCCATACCATCCAAAGTGTGCTCAGTTATAGTCAATTGCCTTGCAAATTCTAACAACGATGGCCCATCTGCAGTTTTGAGATCGGGTAAACTTAAAAGCTTACTGATATGAGCTTCAGCAATAATGTGAGCTTTCCCAAAGTTCTCTTGCAATGTTTGTTTTGCTACTTTATAACCATTAGGTAGATTTACACAACTCTCAATCGATTCTCGGGCTTTACCCGTGCAATGTTGTATTAACAGTTGCAACTTTCGATCCTCATCATGATTGTCCCTCTCTAGACATGATTCAAAATTGTGAATAAATGTCACATACCTCGATGGATCTCCATTAAACTTGATATACTCAATATTGGGTGCATTCACTACTTGTTGCAGTACCTTTGCGATCCCTTCACCATAAGATGCCTCAATTCTTTGCTCTGGGGACTTCGACGCTGTCGATTTTAAAGTAGGACTTTGTTCAACAGGTGCATTTTCGTCAAATGCTACACACGAATTTTCAAGCTTATCATTAACCAGTGGGTCTGGTACCCTCATTGAACTTGCTGGTCCTTTGTTCAATTGTTGTTTAGCAACTGACACACCCATTGGTACATTCAAGTCACAACTGTTTGAGTCTTGCTCCATAACAATTTGGTAGGACACTGTTGCCTGTTTCGCTTCCATCTCTGCAACATATAGATCTCTTTTCCTTTTCAACTCCTGTTCTTCTCTCTCATACTCCTGTAAAACTTTCAGTTCTTGTAACTTCACCTGAGCTAGAGCCATTTTTTCCTTTTTTTAGACTGTCTCGATAATTTTGTACTAGCACTACTTCCACAATATATACAACTTGCTCTATATCTCATCTAAATGTTCAGCTTCCTTTGATTTACGCCACTCTTTTAACTTGGCATCCAACTCTAATTTCCTGTTTTGTTGCTGTCCGTATTCAGTACAAGTCATCCTTTTCTCACTCTCACTGTTCAACACTTGAATTAAACGTCCATGCACACCAACAAATTCTTTCCATACAATAGTATGTTTATCCATTATCAATACAGCATTTCTCCAACTAGTATTGACACATTTACCCATTAGCAAACAATACACTTCACTAGCCAACTGCGATAACTTATTAATAGAAATATTTCGCACCTTGTATAGTTCAGAAATTTCTTCTTCCATATTTGTTCCATGCTCTGGCGATAAAACATTTAGTTCCTGAATTTCCCCCACCAGATATTTGTTCTACACCTTGACTCACACGACTTTCATTATTTTCTAGTTGCTTCGTTTCCTCAGCAGATACAGTTCCAGATGATTTTGACATATTTATATCTCACGCACACATATATTCGCACTGATATTTACCAAATTTCCACAAAATTCCACAAATATACGATCAAACCCAACAATAAACTTCGTATTACCCTCCTATTTAGTCGAAAACTGTTATGCCCGTACGATCGATAGTCAAAACTCAACAAATATACTCGCCAATTTTCCACTATTATTTTCCACATTATATCATATATTACTATTTTCCACCAATATAAACAGCAGGTTTTCTGCAAGTTAAACTAAATTAATATACAAATACATTAAAATTGTCAACAATAAGTGTTCAAAAACTTACTGACTGTATCGGTCGTTCAATAAAGCAAGTTTCTACTAACAAAATCCTCAATATATGTTCTATAAATACTCAAAATGTTTACTTCTCGTGTTCAAAATTCAATATGGCCGTCCAAACCCGAAATGTTTTATGGGACGGCTTTCCCACTGAACTCTATATATACACTGATTGGTAGCTACAAACAGCGTCGCAATACTATGTGCATTGATCTTATTAGTAAAATGTCTGACCCACAACACAAACTGCACCATCTTCTTCCTAACAAACTTTGTCAGGTACGGGCAAAGGTATACACGTCAGAATGTATGGTCAATTGTTTTACAATTACCACTACAGAACAGAACGTTTTCTGAACAGTCCAATTGTTTCGTCAATTGAACTCTATAATAACTCTATTTTATAATATAATATAACTATATATTTTTTATCGAAACGTTTTTAATACGTATTAGATAGTTTTCGGAACAGTCCAATTGTTTCGTCAGTAGAACTTTTGATAATAACTCTCATTGATAACTATATATTTCTATTGAAACTTTTTGTAATACCTAATTTAGATAGTACAGTAATTAATATATTTCTTCTACAGGGTGTATCAAAAAAAAGTTGACCTTTAGAAATCAAGCATATTGTTAAAATTTGAATGCCTTTTCAATTGCACATATGCTGAACCGTATTGCGTGAAATATTGATGGGTGCATATATTAGAAAAAGGAGACCTTTAGAAATTGAAATAACGTTTAAACAAAAGATTGTCTGCTCCTGGGAACAATCTGCCATGCGCTTAGCAAAGTGCTCCAGGATTCAAATGATAACAATGGTTGATTTCTAAAGGTCTCCTTTTTCTAATATATGCACTCCATCAATATTTCACGCACCACAGTTTAGCATATGTGCAATTGAAATGGCATTCAAATTTTAACAATATGCTTGATTTCTAAAGGTCTCCTTCCTTTTTTTTATACACCCTGTATATGTATGTAATGCATGCGCATTCTAATTTAGCTATACTTATTGTAGCTAGTCAATGTGTAATTTTCATATTAAACATTAAACATTAAACATATATATATATACATGTAATCCAACTAATTTCCATTGTTACCGCTGGGCCCATGTATGCGAGGAAAAAGAATTAGGAACATGTTGCAGTAGAACTATAATAATAATATGTAGCTGACACTGGAAGAATGCATATCAAAGTAGTCCACCGTTCAATCATCATTTGTACAATTATGCAAAATGTTGCTAAAAAAACAATTAGTTTCTGGACTGTAATTGGCTCACTCAAAATTGGAGAATATAATAATGCCTTAAGCTTGTACGCTAGTACAAAAATATTTAATAACAGTTCTACTGTGGCTATAAATAAAAATTGAACAGTTCAATACATTGAGATGCATATGTTTGATGCTTTCAGTTTCATGCAGCTACATGTCAGCTACATGTGAAGATCAACTGCAACATATCCCGGCGCATAACACATCATTTCGATGCGCAGTCAAGATTTTGAATTGGCTTATATATTGATAACTGATTTACTCTTTTAGCAAATATAGCCTAAATATACTCTTATATCATCAAAATACCTGTGCGGTATTAGCCGAATTCATTTAGGGACGGGAAACTCGTCTGCGAAAACCCGTCTGAATATGAATTTAGGGAGCGACGGGTAAATTCGAATTTAAGACGAGTTTCCCGTCTAGATGAGATTCCCGTCTAACTTTCCCGTCTGTTTCGACGGGTAAGTTAGACGGGTAAGTTACTGACTCGTTCCCAGTCGCTCGCGTTGGATCATGGGAATGGGTTAGGTTTGCTGTCAACGCCTAACCCGCGAACGGGCATATTTTCCCGTACTAAAATATAACGAGGGACTGTGGAAGAGTCAGGGTAAGTTAGACGGGAAAGTTCGGACGGGAAACGCGTCTGCGCCCGGATTCATATTAGACGAGTTTCCCGTCTGAGACGAGTTTCCCGTCTAAGACGAGTTTCCCGTCTCTAATATGAATTCGGCTAATGTCTGCAAAGAAAAATTGTTTCGCTTGCGGTTAAGCATGCGCACTTACGGCTGTTTATGCAATTATAGATCTATTATTTTCCAAGGAAAAAATTAATATTGTCTTTGAGACTATGGGGAGGTTCAGATTTGAGCTTCTACTGGCTCCGCCATTAAGGGGCTGTTCAAATGGCCCGGTTAACTGGGATGATTCGTTTATTAAAGCTCTTATATATATCGCGGCTTTGATAAACATCCAAACTGATGACATTTCAAAGTTGAATTAGCTTGGTTTGAATCCAGTGACAGCATAAAGTTCAAAACGATTTTTATTCCGCGGTTGGATGGCCAGTTAAAAAGGCCCGGGCTTCAGCTGGTCTATTCTGCAACCTGGTTGGTTCAGTAATGATTATTCAATGTCAGAATAATTATTATTTTGGTAGGGGGACTTTAATACCCAAAATTTAAAGCAAATAATAGATCTGACATTTTTCACTGCAATACATCATGCATGTATTATGGAAATACATAAGATCAGTATGCATCTTTTTATTCATCGATTTGGTTCTACATCACTACGATTTTCACTAAGTTTCCACCAATTTTCACTAAAGCTATTCAGGCTCTAAATATGATAAAAAATTATTGATGTAAGAGGTAACTGATGCTGTGTTTTAGCTTAACGTGGTGTACACAATGAAAACGTAATAAAATCAACTGTCACGTCACCAGCCGAAGCCAGAGCCTTTTTAACTGGCCATCCAACCGCGGAAGCAAAAAGTCCTGGGTACAAGGTTAAGGTAGAAAATCATAGGTCTACTGTATTTTACCTTGGTAAAAACCAAATAAAAGCCAGTAATGCAACCAAATCCACGAGATAACTGATAGCAATATTCAAATATTTGCTACCATGAAGAGATGACATGTTTAAAGCCAGCATGAAAAAGTTCATATCAGTTGTGAACCTAAAACATACAACATGAAATACAATACAACACAATACAATATCATTTATTTAACGTGGTCAATACATTTAGCATAATGCTAATTTCCAGATATGCCACTAAGAAATGACGAACAGCGGATGAGATAAGATAAGATTGAACAACAGGGCCTGAAAGGTCAGACATCGGACATTTTTCAATAAAGTAGAGTAGTATGGTATACGGTGTGGTATGCAGTACAGTAATTGGTGAAGCACGTTAAATTACATTCGCAAACTCATTTTAAAATAATTAATGAGCAATACATAAACATCACGGTAACTTAACTATCACCTTGAATTTGTTTTATACAAGTCCATGTCAGAAGTTATATAACAAACTCGAAAGCTGCATGTTTATTTCCGGCGCATAATAGGCTTAATAGCATTTTATATAATGTAAACAACGTCTTTTAAAACAAACTAGAATAGAACAGTAAGTTATTTCTATTAAAACTTACAAAGATCATATATTGATTGTCTTTCTCACTTGGAAAAGAGTTCTTTAAGTTTTTCTACGTGAGCGGTCCATCTTAGCGATCCTACTATGACATATGTGAGCGGTTTGTACTCAAGAACCAATCAAAATGCTGCATTTTGCAGATGGACTGCCTTGCCGTATAGTAAATGGCATTACATCAAATAACATCTACTCACCACAGAAAAGACATAACTAGTGTTATCTTCAGTAGTTTGGGTGATTTTATTACGTCCAATATATTTGCCTTTCGCTGGCGTTGCGAAGTAACCATGTCATGACTTTTGCTAAAATCCAGTTGTATTTCATTAAATAACTCACGAGGGAAAGGCAGCCTATTGAATTCCACAACTCTTTTGACAAGTAATTCTGCTTTATCGAATTTCCTGTGTGCTAAATACCAACGAAGAGATTCCGGTACCGCAAAACTAAATAAAAAAGCTATAGTTTAGTGTTGGTCTTGTGCGCAAGTGGACGAATTGTTGTATACTATGCTTCTGCTAGCCTGCGATGCAGGCTCTATAATTGTGTAACCATTCACGCTTCTTACAATTTCTGGTTTATTAATAGGAAAGGACAAACATTGCCTAAACAGAAATTTATCAATAGTGGTGGCCTTTCTTCCCTCATCTCAAACTCATTAATAATTCATGAGTAAGTTAGCCAACAGTATATATTTTGCTCACATGATGTGACTGGATACCTGGTGAAGTATATTGATCCAGTCTTAGGACAGGTTCAAAATTAATTCAGTCCTTGGATTGGATTAAAATTAATCGTGTCTGTGACTTATTCGTATTGAGATGTCATTTCAAATCCGACAATTCGGACTTTACCAGATATCCAGTCCTTGCAATTAACTCAGTCCTCTGTTTCGCCTCGGACAGAATTAATTGTGCAGACTAGATATCTGGTAAAGTCCTCATAGTCGGAATTAACATTAACATTAACATAATTAAACTTATATTGCGCATATTACCATGTAATGTTGCGCATATTAACATATGTTCATATGCGCATTACATGAAAATCTAAAATTTAAATTACAGTTACTATATTATAGTTATTTACATCTAAAATCAGAGTTCACTTTATAAAAAAGTATTTCAATGTTCGAAGGCCATTCTATATAAGTAGGTTTTTAATGCCTTTTTAAATAAATTTAAATTGTCCATATTACGAATATATGCTGGCATAACGTTCCAAAGTTTTGGAGCAGCTGATTTAAATGCTCTCCCACCAAGAGTCGTCAAACATTTTCCTGTTGGTGGCAATAGTGTCAAACTTCCACATGATCTTAAACTGTACCTAGTATGCCTTCTAATGTTAATAAGATCCATTAAATATTTTGGGGCTAGTCCATGTATGCATTTAAAAGTTAACAATAAAATTTTATACTGAATCCTGTAAACAACAGGCAACCAGTGTAGGGCGTCCAAGACGGGTGTAATGTGACTGAATCGTGAAATACCGGTGACCAATCTTGCAGCATTGCTTTGAACACGTTGGAGTTTCGTCATATGAACAGCTGGAATACCGTAAAGCAATCCATTGCAGTAATCAATCTTACTTGAAATAAATGCATGCACCAAACACTCCACATCTTGGCGAGTTAAATACTTTCGTATTCTACGGATGTTATAAAGATGAAAGAAAGCAGACCTACATGTCTTGTTAATATGCTGTGACATGTTTAATTTAGAATCAAACCAAGATCCCAAGTTTTTCGCTACAGAAGATGGCATAATTTGCCTGTCTCCCACTTGTAGACAATCGATGTTAACCTTTTCCAGCTGTTGCCTTGTGCCAATGATCATAAACTCGGTTTTCTCAGGATTAAGCTTAAGTTTTTGAGAGAGCATCCACTGATGTACTTCAGCAATACAAGCTTCCATTGCTCGAACAGCATTGGCTTCATCCAACATAGTTGCAGGTTTAAAGGATAAGTACAGTTGAGTATCGTCAGCAAAACAATGCGCGTTCGGTAAATGAGATTCGATAATTTTGAACAACTTACTTGTATATAGGATGAAAAGCAGTGGTCCCAAACATGATCCCTGTGGGACACCAAAACTCAGATCAAATTTTTTAGAGCAGACACCATCAATTACAACTTTTTGAGACCTGCCTGAAAGATAGGAAGAAAACCAAGAAAGTACTGTTCCAGAGATTCCAAAGTCCTCCTGTAGTCGCTTAAGAAGAATACTGTGGTCGACCGTGTCAAAGGCAGCACTGAGATCCAATAAAACAAGTAATGTAACCTCTTGGTTGTTCATATTCATTAAAATATCATGCTTTACTTTTAGTAGCGCCGTCTCTGTACTGTGATATTTCCGATAACTGGATTGACAAAGAGGAAACAAATCATTTGAAACTAGATAAGAATGTGTTTGGTTGAAAACAGCTTTTTCGGTCAACTTTGACACAAATTGTAAATTACTAATAGGCCTAAAATTTTCGAAAGCTAAATCCAGGCCAAACTTCTTCAGTAACGGAATTATTAAAGCCTCTTTCCATTCATTAGGAAATAATCCTGATGACAAACAGTTATTAATAATAGATGTTAGTACTGGTAGCAACTCATCCAAACATTCCTTTACCATGCTAGTCGGGATAGGATCCAAGGAGCAAGATTTTGTGTTCGACTCTAAAACAAGGTGCTTGACAGCTTCCATCTCCAAAGGTTCAAATTTCTCAAATGATGATACACATGGGTCACCAAGATTGCTATAGGTACAATCATCTACACAAGCTAATTCCGCACGTAGGTTTGTAATCTTCCTTATAAAGAATGTTCCCATATCGTCAACAAAGCTTTCCATATTACAGTTAGGTGGAAAAACCATCTCGTTACTCTGATTGAAAAGTTTCCTCGTAATCGAAAATAATTTCCTTTGATTACCAGAGTTCTCACTAATTAAGTTACTATAGAATTCACTTCTTGCTCTGTTCATCAAATAGGTCGCCCGATTCTTTGCCCTCTTAAATCGCTGAAAATCCACATCAAGATTTGTAGTTCTCCATCTTCGTTCAGTTTTGCGCCGTTCCCTTTTTGCTTCACGAATGCCATTAGTAAACCAAGGAACCCGAGGTCTAACAACTACAGATCTAACTTGAAGGGGTGCATGTCTGTCAAGAATTCTCTTTAGTGTGGTATTATAACTATGAGTTAGGTCATCAAGGACACTCAAGAGTTGCTGACATAAGTCCAAGACAAATGTAGTCTTCTTAATATTAAAAGCACTACTCGTCATGAGAAAATGCTTGCTTTTATGGCTGAAAATGGGATGCGCCAACTTGGGACACCTAGAATTGGGGTGTTTGCGGAAAGAGTTCGACCAGATCCACTGCATTGTGAAATTAATGCATGGCAGCATTTATTAGATTTAATTTACTGTGAATGTGTGAAGCGCAACAGTTTCCAGCAGTTCATTAAAATATTATCAGCTCCTGTTGGTCTTGAACATAGTAATCATTTGGAAACTTTGGATCAGATTACAAACCCAGATGATTTAAATAATTCTATGTCAGAAGACACATTAACTTTGTCTGAGATTGCTATACCAGAGCATATAAACCTTTTAGAGGAACAAGCTACAGCCAATTTATCTGCGGCACTTAAAAGTAAGGCTGCCACACTAGATTCATCTGCAGACAAAGTGTATGGATGCGGTCTGGCATACTTAGCATCTAAAATTAAGGAGCATTACAGTGTCGAAGCTAAAAGGTCAAACAAATTGCCAACTCAATTGATAGGTAGTCAAGCTGTGAGCCTTTCTAGGCATGGCTACAGACTTGTTGATGCCTTGCAATATGATGAAGAAAGTCCTTTAGAGAATACCAAACGATTGGCACTTTCAAAAGCAGTGGAATATTTACGAAATGCCAGCGGATTGTTTAACAAAATTAATTTAAGTTCCATTGGAGAAGTTGATCAACTGACTGAATTCTGTGAACTTTATTTTAATATTCTTGTTCTTTTTTCCCCCACAAGTATTAATGTTACTGTCTGGACAGTGGGGTATGCCATACCTTATCATGCCAGAAAATTGTACGAAAGAATACCATATTGGTTATGGTATTTTGTCACTTCAAGCGAAGGAATCAAAACATGCTGGCATTAAAGGTGATCTTTCTTTAACCAACAGGTCAAATGAAAGTAGCACTAATGGCAAGTGGTGGCAAGTTTTGCGCTCAAATTATGTTAGGTCATTCTATCTTCCTGAACACCAACCTGCACCTCCATCATATATTTCTCATTTTAAGTCGCGTACACCACCACACTGCAGTAGGGTCGATTATTGTGCTTGTGGAAGAACTAAATTAGATATTGTGGATGAGCAGTGTGGGGTTTGCAAAGCTGCTAAAACTATTGTAATTAAATGTGCTAAAGAAAAGAAGTTATCTAATGAAGTAATTTTCTTATTTAAGCCTATCATTTGCAGTAAATGCAATGAACGCTTTTCTGATGTGACCAATTTGAAAGCACACACTGATATTGTTCATCGCTCTCAGACTCTTGCTACTGAGAGCACTAGACCTTCTCACTCACTTATAAAGACTCGATTAAAAAGTATGAGTGTTACAGAGTTGAAGTCGGCCCTGAGGGAAAAAGGCCTATATCCACCTCTGGTAACAAGGAAATTTTAGTTCGAAGGCTGGAAAGTGTACTGCCAAATGCGAAGTAAAACTGTGAAATGGGCCACTGGGCCATATCAGTTTAATGAACAATGCCTTCAGTAGTTCAGTGGTGGGATGTGCCAGTACTCAGTAGAGTCAAAGTATATTGCTGGCTATAGTAGCTAGGTTATTTAACTACCTGAAGGACCTCAATGCTGAGAATGTTATTTTGTGTGTGTTATGGTGCTAGGTACTGAGGTGAATATAATGTTTTTGATGTTACTCTGAGTGTATATCCACACCGGGCAGGCTAAAAAGTTAGCCTGTCCACGGTGGGAATCGAACCCGCGACCTTTGGGATACTAGTCAAATGCTCTGCCAACTGAGCTACGGGCCAAGTCTGTTTGAGTGTGTGGTATTTCGAAACTAAGTCTACCACCTTCGATACCAATGTGTTTTATGATATTATATTTTGTGTGTTTTGGTGTTATGTACTCTGGTGAATATAATGTTTTTGATGTTACTCTGAGTGTATATCCACACCGGGCAGGCTGAAAAGTTAGCCTGTCCAGGGTGGAAATCGAACCCGCAACCTTTGGGATACTAGTCCAATGCTCTGCCAACTGAGCTACGAGGCCAAGGTTATACAACTATCTGAAAATAGGAAAATAATATCTTTGCTTTTTGAGCGATGCCCTTTGAGAATTCATAAATGCCAGGTCATTTCTTTCTGGAAAGTGTAACCCTTAAACCTTATTACTCAAATCTGCAGTATCGGCCTTGACATATTAGATTGGTGGCTATTTTAGAAAGGGTTTCTATCATCAGAAAACTGGTTATAATGTTTTGGCAATTCCATTTTTTAGATTGGTATTCGAGTTGTTCCAAATGATTTTTAAACCAAATTAAAACTTTTTATGTAACACAGTGAGATCAGTTCAATTTCACCATGATAAAATGGCAGTGTTTATTTTACCATAATGTTATTTCTTATCAAAATGTTTACTTTTAACAATAAAATCAATTGATTCAAGTGAGTCAATTCCAGAATGGATTATGGTAAAATCAACATCATTTATCTCTATGTGTGTGTTCCTGGGCAGAATGCTGAGGAAATACTGGGTACAAAGTTGAACTGGTTATCATTCTACTGTGGCTTTTATTCGTGCAAATTAAAAATCAAATATATAGAAATCTAGTTGATGCCTTTTTGCAACTCAATTTTTCCAAACCAACTGTTGTATATAAGCAGCTTCTGTAAAAAAGATGGTATATACAAACCGTGCAAGAGGTCTTTATCAGATTTAAAACACAAAAGTTTTTGCTTTGATAGTGACTGACATGCCGCCAAGTTTGTACTTCAAAATGGACACATATTTTGTGTGGAAGTCTCCTTAGTTGCAAGTCCCATGAGTTTCTACTCTGCTTATGAATGATTGAATTTTGCTTATGAATTATTATATTTGCTCTGTATATAAATTTTGACAGTTTAATTCATTAAAGGTGCATGTGCTATATTCGGATACAAGCGCATGCGCCTTTGTCTGCAGTTCGCTTATATACAGGGCAATGGGGTATTTAGTTCTATATTGTAAATATGCTGACTCTTTGAATAATGAAAATCATATTCACTGTAAATATTATATTTATAATGATTAATATTCATGTTAAGATATTAATACAGATATATATGTATATATATATATATATATATATATATATATATATATATATATATATATATATATATATATATATATATATATATATATATATATATGTATGTATATATATATGTATATGTATATGTATATGTATATGTATATGTATATGTATATGTATATATATATATATATATATATATATATATATATATATATATATATATATATATATATATTAAGAATATATTTTGTTATAATATATTGTCTAAAATAGTTTTCTATATTGTTTCTATACTGAATTTTTTAATAATAGAATGGCAAATTATTTATTATAATATTTAATTTTCAATATTTCATGCTAGAATTATGTTCCAAATTATATATTTAAAATTTATAAAAAACAAAATGTTTATTGACTATTATTGTTCAGTTCTTGCATTTTTGTTGCAAATGAGAATGAGTTGACCCACAAAGATCAATACACACACACATATTTGGGGGAATTTGTGCTATCCGTGGAAGTATGTTTTTGATAACAGTTGCATGAATCTACTAAGGCATCCAAAAAGTAAATTTTCATGTGTGCGGAGTCAATCTTTTCAGAATATACCCTGTTATTCTATTCTAATGTTTTCTATACAACTAATTAATCCCAAACTGCATCTTGGAGTGGCAGGACTCTCCACTTGATGAGTAAAATTGTCTGGCGTTAGACAGAGTAAAGTGCTGAAAGGGTTAATTTGTTATTTAA